ATATATATATATATATATATATATATATATATATATGTCTTCTTTCCCATTCTTGGCTTGATATTGCTTCAGACCCATCCATCTCAACCTTAACCTCTCCCACTCCAACCCTGTGTTCACTCTGGATATGTCTGTTTCTTCCAGTAATCCTTTTGGATTCTATCTATCTATTTATCATTTATCCATCTACCATTTATACCTTTCTATCCATCATCTTTCTATGATCTATTTCTATCATCTTCCTATTATCTATCTTCTATCAGTCTTTCTATCTACTATCATCTGTCTCTCAATTTATCATCTCTATCTTTCTATCCATAATCTAGCTATCTTCTGTCTCTATTATCTACCCATGTCTCTATCTATTTCTCTCTCCACATCTCCCTTTCTCTTCCTCCGTCTTTCCCTCTGAAAGTCCTATTTCCGACACATAGTAATGTATATATACAGGCTGTCCTAGTGCACTAAGACTTTGGGGATCACATCCCCATCTGTATTTTCTGGACTTCTGGTTGTTCTTAGATATATTCACATCTGGAGATTTCTCCCAGTAGCTGGGCCTACATGTGACTTCACTTGACCATCTTGCTAGAATTCCACCCCCATTCAACCAGTTATTATGCTAGTCCCTCTTAATTCTGAACAGCTAGCATGCAACTTGGTGTCAGTTGTAATAACGACATTGCCAAGGATGATTAAACAGACCAGCATATGACGTGCCTCCCTACACCATTTTGAATGGGCAGATGCTGAAGGAGGCATAGGAACTCACAGCTGTTTAATAATAATAGCTAGCATTTACATAGCACTTTGCAAATATTATCTAATTTTATCCTTACAATAACCCTGAGAGATAGATGCTATTATTACCCCCACTTTACAGATGAGAAAACTGAGAGTTTAAATGACTCGCCCTGGGGCACATACCTACTACCTGTCGGAGGTGGGATTTGACTTCAGGTCCCCCTTCCTACCCACTGTAACACCAAGCTGCCTCTAATTTGATGAAAGTAGGCTTCTGTATCACTGCAGGTGGAGAATCGCACAGTCCACATGACATTACTTCCACATATGAAATTGCACCACTTCCTATGTGAGTGCTACCTACAGATGCAGCTGAGACAGGCTGCCAGAGCAGAACACCAGCCCCTGAAGCGTGCCTGCCCCTGGTCCTGGTCTTTATTGTCTGACGTCCATTGTTTCCAACATGGGGAGCAGCTAGAGAGAAGACATCTCACTTGTGCTGTTTAAATGATTGTTGCTCCCTAACTGCATCTTCATGATTCATTTTTTTTTTAATGTTGTTTGACCACTCCTGCCACTGTTTGTGTGGGGCTGTTAGGTGGTGCCATAGTGCCTAGAGTGCCGGGCCTGGAGTCAGGTAGACTCGTCTTCCTGAGTTCAAATCTAGCCTGAGACATTTACTAGCAGGGTGATCCTGGGCAAGTCCTTTCACTCTGTTTGCCTCAGTTTCCTCATCTGTAAAATGAGCTGTAGAAAGAAGAGGCAAAGCATTCCAGTATCTTTGCCAAGAAAACCCCAAATGGGGTCATAGAGAGTTGGACATGACTGAACAAAGATTGAACACTAATCAACAGCTAATGTTGGGGATTGTGTGGTGGATATAGCCTTCCCTCAATGTACAAGAGTGTATTTGCTTCATTTTTGGCCATGGGGAACTCAAGCTGTTGATAACAAGACTGTCAACTTTGTCAAGCTTTTACCCAGGCCTGGGGTGTACATTTGACCTTGTATAGGGTCATAGGATTTGGCACTAGAAAGGAGCTTGGAGATCTTCTGATTTGGTGCCTTCTTTTTACAGTTGAAGAAACAGACCTCTAGCCTTCAAGTTAATTCATTTTATTGTTTCAAATAAGCACTTATTAAGGGTCCACTATGTGTCAAGGATTAGGACACAGTGACAAAAGAGAAATATTCCCCGCCTTCAAAGAGTGGACATTCTATTGGAGGGAAGCAGCATATATGTGGATAAGTACCTAAAAATGCACATAAATATGAGATAATATTGGTGGGACCAAGGACAGAGGAGAGATTGGCAAAATGGGGATCAGGAAAGGCCTTCCACTGAAATATGTTTTGCATGTCTCCCCACGTACAATGGGCATCACATTGCTTGCCTTCTCAGTGGGTGGGGGAGGGGCTGGAGAGAGGGAGAGAATTTGGAAGTCAAAATACAAACGAAAAAGGAAAAGCTGTTTTACTGAGGTGGTGTTTGAGTAAAGCCTTGAAGAAAGCTAGGGATTCTAAGAGGTGGAAGAAAGGAGGGGGTGCATTCCAAGCACAGAGACCAGTCTGGGCAAAGGTACTAATACGGGAGACGGAACAGGAAAGAGGCCAGGAACCCAGTAGATTTCATGACAGAGAATCGTGTTTATTAAGCCTGGAAAGACAGGGCAGAGCTGGTTTAGGGGGAGCTTTAAATGCCACACAAAGAAGTTTCTATTTTATGCTAGACATGATAGGCAGCTATTGGAACCTGCCCGAAGTCACGTGGGAGGTAAGTAGCTTTCTTCTTTTTAATCCGATGATTCTGATGATATAACGCTGGCCTGGGCTTCTAACATGGGCATCAAGACGTCCTCCTGCTGGTCGCTCCCTTACTGCGGCTTCCTTCAATGTTCACATGCCCAATTTATGTCTCTAACAGACAGACAATACTAGCTCCAGGTGATGAGGATATCACCTTGGGGCAATCTGTGTGAAGACACATCTCCAGGAAGAGATTGCTTGGAGAAGTAGGCCACACTGTGCCTTCTTACCGTAGAATCATGTCTTTCAGAGATTTCATTTGCATATGTCTTACATCCTCCCTAGACTATGAACTCATGAAGTTGTCCCATGTTCAGAAATATTTTTCCCACCTTCCACTTACCTAGAGCTTATTTCTGTTAACAATCCTGGCTAGCATAGTGGGTCCATATATGGCGATAGTGAGCATTTAAGTAGGGCTTTAAACTTTGCAAACCAATTTACAAATATTGTCTCAATTGATTCTTACCACAACCCTGGGAGGAATTATTATTCTTATCCCTATTTTCTAGATAAAGAAACTGAGATAGAGGTTAAGTTAAATGACTTGCCCAGGGTCACACAGCTGGTTAGACTAGAAGCCAGTAAGACTTGGGTTCAAATTCTACCCTGGATACTTGCTAGCTTTAAAAGCTATTAAAAATCTTAAAGCTGTACTAAAATATTATTTTTTAAAAAATATTTTTACTTTTTCCTGATTACTTGTAAAAACAATTTTTAACTCCTCCTCCCCCACCCCCCCCAGATGGTAAGCAATCTGATTTAGGTTATACATGTATATTGAGACTTTTTTTTTTTTGGTGAGGCAATTGGGGTTGAGTGACTTGCCCAGAGTCACACAGCTAGTGAGTATTATGTGTCTGAGGATGGATTTGAACTCAGGTCCTCCTGACTCCAGGGCTGGTGCTCTGTCTACTGTACCACCTAGCCGCCCCCTACATTAAGGCTTTTAAAAAATAATATTTTATTTTCCCCTCAATTACACGTAAGACCAATTTTTAACATTCTTTTTTTCCTAAATTTTAAGTTCCAAATTTTCTCCCTTCCTCCCTTCCCCCCCCCCAGACAGTAAGCAGTCTGATACAGGTTATACATGTGCGCTAAGACTTTTGGGATTTTCCATATTTCTGTTTACCATCCCCATCGATGCCTTACATATAGCAGGAGCTCAGTAAGCATTTCATATTTGATAATGATATTAATGATGGTGAAGATGACAATTTCTCAGAACATGGCTAGCCATTTAGCTCCTTGGGAGGCTAAATGGATATTTTCTACCCAAAGGAGTCAAGGCCAAGGAAATGTGAATAGTAGATGAAATGAGAAACAAAGCCATCACTTCTAGAAGAAAGTGGGCCCTGACTCCTCACTTGCGGGAGGGCCTGTTGTCTCCTTTGTAGGGCTGTCATGTGCTGGTGATTCAACTAGCTCAGAAAAAGGGGTGGTGAGGTCCCAAACAGGGACTGGCAAGGGAGAATGCCAAGCTGGGAGGCAGTTTCTGAAGCACTCAAATCCAAGAGAGAAGGCTGGGGGCTTCCTAGAAGTTTCCAGCCAGGATCAGGAAGCTCACCACTAGCAGTATCTACCACGATGCATCTTCCCAAAGCTTCAGCCTTTAACGGGGGTGGTGTGTGTTCACTGCCCCTGGCCCATATTGTCAAGGGCTGGCTTTGTTGTGTCCCCCTGGATCCAGCTGGGAGAGGGAGACTGTGGGTTTGGATAGGACTGGCTTTTCCCCAGCTCCAGGCCAATTTAGGTCGCACTTCTCGATGAAATGTCCAGAGCCCTTGGTGAGAACATTTGTCTTGAGCTTGGAAGCATATTCCTTCGTGTTCTTCTCCTAGATCTGTCTGCTCATTGGGAACAGCGAAATCCAAGCAGTGTTGAGCAGTGTTTCATCTGAGCAATCACAGGAAAATAACTGAGTCAAAACCAAAAGGGAAATATGATTGCTTCCCAACCGGGTAGTCCTTGGGGAAGAAGGTGGAGAATCCGATCTGGCATCAGGAGCCAAATTCTAATGCCCTGCACAAAAATCCAGTGATTTGTCCAAGGGCATCCGAGTGTGGGCGAACCTCCCAGAGCACTGATTGTCAGGGGCTGAGGATGATAGAAATATCTGTGAGCTCTTATGTGAACAAATCAGACTTGAAACACAGCACAGCCCTGTTTTTTCCTTACTGTAGGCTTGAATTTGATTGTGCTAGTCGGTCATGCTCGGTTAATTTCTACATGAAATCTGTCCTCTGTGCAGAAAGCACATTTTGCAACTCCCTACAAAACTCGTTACCCTCTGCACCGGTTTGCTGAAGTCAGCACTTGTGCTCTCTACAGAGCCAGAGCTAGGGATTCTTGCACCTGGGGTGAATTCAGTTGAGTGGGGTGGGTGTGGGAGGGCACAGAATTTTGCTTGGGGGCTGTCATCCGAGACGAAAGAACCTATTCTTCAGAGAGCTCAGCCTGTAGCCCTGCATCTCAGCTGAAGCTCCTCCTGATCTTCCAACTCCCAGGAAGAGATGGAAGGGTATGATGGTGTCAGAAGACCGGGGCCAGTGGCTTGTTCTGCTGGGCTCCAGAGAATTGAATCAGGAGGAGTAAGAGGAAGTCATGGGGAGGCTGATGTAGATCCAGTGGAAAACCAATTTATTAACAATTATACCTATCCCAAAGTGGAATAGGGAGCCTTGGGAGGTGATGAGTTTCCTCCTCACTGGAGGTTTTCAGATGGAGGATGTGACCACTTGTCAGGGATGCTTTAGAAGGAATTTTTATCTGGCATGGGTTGAACTGGATGGCCTGTGAAGTCCTTCAGAACTCTGAGATTCCAGGATTCTTTAATTCTCATGCTTGTCCTCTTATCTTTTTGAATTATTGTTTTCATCTGGACCTGGGGAAATGAGTCATGGGGACACAAAGAAACTGACGGAGCAATTTATAATGACAGTGAGAATTCATTTCCCCTTTGCCCTTCATTCAGGGATTGAGATCAGAGGTCATACATTGGGATGAGGGGATGATGTTTCTCTGTTGCAGCAGCCAATTTTCTCTTTCTGTCTTCCTTCCAGTGACCTGGCTCGTTGGACTCCCAGGAGGGGAGAGAAATAGGAATGATTATATGCGGAGCCACAAACGCGGTGATCGGTGTTGGCCTGAGGCTGTAGAGGTGAGTTTCTAAACCTGGAGCAGAGGGCCAGGTGACTGAAGGTCAGCAGAGCCAGGAGAAATCCTGATCTTGGAGCAGAGTTCAGGATTAGGATAAAAGAAAAAGATCTAGGGTTCCTACAGTTGTCAACTTGAACCCAACGAGGCTAGTGAGCTAAAGAAGCTGATTTCTATTCTAATCCATGATCCTCATAAGGAAAATACATATTGCTTCCTTCTATGAACTGCATGGGAGCAGTTGAGAGCCTTCCTCTCTGTAGATCTTGGAGGGCAACTTGGAGGAGGACTGGGAGATGGGTGGAAATAATGACATACACCACTCTGGAGCACTGAGCATTCCTTTGAACTTTATTCTAGGTATACTAAACTCTACAATCACAAAATGCTAAGTTTCTGAACCTATAAAAGTGATGAAAGATGAATTCAGGTGCTATGGGGAGGGCAGGGCTTAGAGCAAAGATAACAGCAGATTTCATATTTTAATTTTGAATAAGACTCCTTTTCACTCCCTCAATTAATTTCCAATCTGGGAAGTGGAAACTTTAATTAAAGTTATTTCCTACTTCCCCTCTCCATCTCTACTCCTCAGGCTTAGTGGTGGGTAAAGCAGAAAAGAGAACTAGCAAGTTGAACATTCTCTGGTGGTACTTCCTTAAAAGAAAGGACTATTTCTCATAGGCAGTAGAAAAAACAATTTTCAAGATGAGGGACTGTTGGATCATGGTAATTGAGATAATGCACTCCAGTGATGGATAATGTTATTTTTCAATAAGGAAGCATCTAAAACATGAACAAAACGGCTTTATTTTGGGAGCCAATGTCACAAGTGTCACGTGGGTAAGGCCAATGAAGCTGACTTCCTTTAACTAAAAGGAGTGGGTCGTAGAGAAGACGTTTTCTTCAAGTCAGTCCTGGATGATGATTGAAAACCTGCCATTCAGATATTGACATCCCATCTTTACAATCTTGGTCTTAGCACCTTTTGACACTAAAAACTAATTAATTGAGAACGTGGTCCACAATCCTAGTGGTTCGTGATGAATGGGAAGATCTTCAGATGCCCTCTAGTAAGCACTTAGAGTTTTCTTCTGATACATACATTAGAGCAAATAACATGTAAAAGAGGGTGATCACTTTTTCCAAAGGAGGAAAAGCTGCTCCCAGAAAGATTTCTGTTCATCCCTTCAGTTCTCAGCAGACTGTTCAATAACCATTTGCTTGTTGATTTTTATTTAAAGAGCCATGAACTATCTTCTAAATTTTTGATGTTTTCATGCCATATGAATACAATTCTACTAAAGATGAAAAGTCAATCAATTTGGGTAGCTACGTGGTGCAGTGGATAGAGCACCTGCCCTGGATTCAGGAGAACCTGAGTTCAAATCCAGCCGCAGACACATAATACTTACTAGCTGTGTGACCCTAGGTAAGCCCCTTAACCCCGTTGCCTAGACAAAAAAAAAATCAATCAATTCTACATTTTCTGGCAAGGTTCCCATCTCCCTAATACTCTACCTGCCCTCCAGATGGCTGGTAACCTAGAAGGAAAATGGCCACCTTTTTGTAAGGCTTCTGAATGATACTCTGGGTCAGTTGAATTGGCTCAGGGAAAATAGTGACATAGGCATGGCTTTGCTCCTCCATCTCTGCATTTTAACAGTCTAACAATTATAGGCTCCCAGAACACTCAATTCTGCACTTTGACTACTCATGGCCTTCCAGTGCAATATGAGACTGCTCTTTGGTGGCCTCCTTTTATCCAGGCATTCTCTTTCTGTCTTACTCAGTCAGTCAAAGAGCCATTTCTTCATTGTGACTGAAGCTAATTTCAGAGACTAGTTCTTGCTATAGTGCTAATGGCAGATAAGGACCTAATATTCCCTATCTCGGCCCCACCTTAACATTTGCATTTTTAATAGTGGCCCTCAGTGCCTTAATTCAAATGAATTCAGTTCAGTTCAGTTCAATTCAATAAACATTTAGTAGGCACCCCTTGTATACAGAACACAGTGCTTGAAACCGAGGGATATACAATATTTAGACAAGCTATCCTTGCCCTCATGGAGTTTACAGTCTATAAAGGATAATTAATGTTAGAAAATTCAGGCACTGTGGTGGCCTGGATTTAGGGATAGTGATTTCTGGGTAAGCATCTATCTTCCCTGACTGTACGTAAAGAGCAGATTTGCTGGAGACAGATGTAGAATTCTTCAGATGGGGTAGAAGAAAAAAGAATTCAACTTGTATTAGCTCAACAAACATTTATTAAATTCCATCGTGGAGTGATGTGAGGCTCAAATGACATAATAGATGTAAAGCTTTTGCAAACCTTACAGAGATATAAATGCCTATTATTATTATTATTATTATTAACCTGTAGTCACCAGCCCTCTAGTCTGATGATGACTTCATTCCCTAAGTTTTCTATTACACTAATTCTGAGCTCAACCAATGTTATAAAGCAGTATAAGGGAATGCTAATAAATGTTTAACAACTGGAACCTTGGCAGGTTAGGGAGAATGGATGTACACAAACTTTTCCCTGGTCTCTAATTTTATTTTTCTTTCTCAATTACATGTAAAATTTTTTAACATTTGCTTTTAAAAATTTTGAGTTTCAAATTCTTTCCCTCCCTCCCTTCCCTCTCTCTTCCTTGAGAAGACAAGCAATTTGACATAGATTATACATGTGCAGTCATGCAAAGCACATTTCTACATTATCCACATTGCAAAAGAAAACACAGACCCCAAAACCCCCAAGAAAAATAAAATAAAAATATATGCTTCAGTCTGCATTCAAACTCCATCAGTTCTTTCGCTGAAGGTGGATAGCATTTTTTTTTTATCATAAGTCCTTTGGAATTGTTTTGGATCATTGTATTACTCAGAATAGCTAAGTTATTCACAGCTGACCATCATGCAATACTACTGTTATTGTGTATAAGGTTCTCCTGGTTCTTCTCATTTTACTTTGCATCAGCTCACATATGTTTTCCTAGGCTTTTCTGAAAGCTTCCTATTCATCATTTCTTATAATACAAAAGCATTGCATCACAGTTCTATATCAGAATTTGTTTAGCCATCCCCCAATTGATGGGCATATCCTCAATTTCTAATTCTTTGCCACCATAAAAAGAGCTGCTATAAATATTTTTGCATATATAGATCCTTTTCCTTTTAATTTGATCTCTTTGGAATACAGACCTAGTAGAGGTATAGCTGGATCAAAGGATCACAGTTTGACTGCCCTTTGGGCATAGTTCCAAATTGCTCTCCAGAATGGTTAAATCAGTTCACAACCCCACCAACAATGCATTAGTGTCCCAATTTTCCCACATTTTCTCCAACACTCATGATTTTCCTTTTCTGTCATATTATTCAGTCTGATAGGTCTGAGGGGGTACCTCAGATTTGTTTCAATTGGCTTTCTCTAATACAATAGTGATTTAGAGCATTTCCTCTCATGTAACTGCAGATAGCTTTGATTTCTTTTTCTAAAAACTGCTTGTACATCCTTTGACCATTTTTCAATTGGGTAAAGGCTCTTATTTTTATAAATTTGACTCAATTCTCTATCTATTTGAGACATGAGGCCTTTCTCAGAGAAACTTACTGTAAAATTCTCTCCCCTATCTCAGTTTCTTGCTTTCTTTCTAATCTTGACTGCAAACACTTTAATTTGATGTGATAAAAGTTATTCATTTTACATTCCGTAATACTCTTTATCTCTTGTTTGGTCATAAATTCTCCCCTTGTCCATAGATCTGACAGGTAAAAATTTCCACAGTCCCCTAATTTGCTTATGCTCTGCCCTTTATACACCTTCTCTTGGTGTATGGTGTGAGATGTTGGTCTATACCTAATTTTTGCCAAACTGCTTTCCAGTTTTCCCTGTAATTTTTGTCAAAAGCAGTTCTTTGGGTTTATCCGACACTAGACTACTATGGTCATTTATTACTGTGTACCATGTAGTTTGATTTTTTGTTTTAAAAATATTTTTAAACATTTACTAAGCATTAATTTTTTTCTCATTTCCATTTCCCCCTACCCACTGGAAGGAAATAAAAAGAAAAAGAGAGAGGAAGAAAGAAAAAGAAAGAAGGAAGAAAAAAGAAAGGAAGAAAGAAAGAAGGAAAGAAAAAGAAGAACCCCTGTGTACCACAAGCACAGTAAAGCAAAACATAATCCTGCATTGGTCAGATCCAAGGATGCATTTTTCTTTCTGCATTAGTCCATCATCTCAGTTATGAGGTAAGCAGCATTTTTCATCAGTCCTCTGGTAGCATGGTTGATCACTTAATTATCTGAATTATTAGGTCTTTTAAAAGTGTTTTTTTATGTTTTAGTACAAATTATTCCTCTTTGGGTTATGTGCTCTAGGCATTATTATCCCCCAATTTACTGATGGTGAAAATGAGGCTCAGAGAGGTTGCCCGTGGACACAAAGCTGATAAATAACAGTCAACAGAATTCAAACCCAAACCTGAGTTTGACTTGGAAATCCAGCCCTTTCCCCATTACCCCATTCTGCCTCAAAGAGAAAGCTATGAGACAAGTCAGCTGAGAGGCAGATGACCGTTATTCATATGAGGGGTCACCGAGCAACTGATGGGGGACACCCCTTCGATGTTGGAACCTGACCTGGTTAATTTCTCGGCTCAGTGCTGCCATTATCACTGTCCTCTCCACTTTGTTCCACTTTGAGATTCCTTGCTGAGTGAAGCTAGCAGAGAAATACTGTTCCCAGATCCGTCTGGGAACTTCATTGTCAGCAGTGAAACACCTTCTCCTCGTGTAGTGAACTCAAGAAATTCAATGAAATGAAAAGTAACCCCTTAGTAAAAAAGGCACCGTATTGCCATTACTTGATGCCTATATCAGTCAGTTAATAAACATTTATTAAGCACTTACTGTGTGCTAAGCACTGTACAAGCAAAAAGGAAAGTAGTACCTGCCCTCAAAGAGCCTACACGCTAATAAGCAAGGATGATTCATATAAAGGAGCTGGAAAGGGGGGGGAGAAGGTAAATTCCTGGGGGTGGGGGATGGTGGCAAAGCCTGGAGGGTCAGACGCTTACCTGAGACGGAACTCAAGTATCACCAAACAGGTCCACCAAATGGGCCCATCACCAAAATGGAGTCCCCGGATGGAACTGTAGGAAAAGGGGCCAGTATGGTAGAGGGATGGATATGCCAGGGTAGAAGACTCCAGGAGCTGAGGGAAGGCTGAGAAAGTAGCTGAGGCATGGTGACAAAGTCCAGAGAGTCACGAGCACAGACAAAAAGGGAATAGTTGTAGGCACTCAATAGATGTTGACTAAATGAATGCAAAAAATAAATTCAAACAATTGAATAAACATTTATGAATTGTTTGTAGGGCGTCTTGCAAGCCACAGCGGTTATAAAGACAGAATCAAGAGTCCTTGCTCTCAAAAAGCCTACATTCTTCTGGGAGATAGACTAACTACATAGGAAAGTGTACTACAAGGAGTATAATGCATCGTAGGGAGTGATGGAGACAAAGGAGAAACCTAAAGCACCATAGGGAAATTTGTTGAGGGAGAGAAATGCTCTGAATTGGGGCAATGGAGGAGCTGAGCCTTGAAAAAAAAGAGGATTCCGAGAGTCAGAAGCGAGGAGAGCACGTGGGTGTGAATGAATGAAACAAATCAGGGATCCTGGGCTTCCCTCATCCCCATCTCTCTCAAGAGAATCTCATGCCTTGGATCTTTCTGGTCCTTAATTACAAATCCTGGGTATGGGGCTCCTCTCACATGAGGTGTGGGGCTCTACGGGGTGATCACCTGTAGACTAGGACATGCAATTTTTCTGACTCCACCTCCACAAATTAGAGAATCAAGTCTGGTCTTGAGTTCCTAAGAGCCCCAGCTCCAGTGTCCTTAGGAAAATGATAGTGGGGCAGCTAGGTGGCGCAGTGTATAGAGCACGGGCCCTGAAGTCAGGAGGACCTGAGTTCAAATCCTGCCTCAGACCAAACACTTGATACTTACTAGCTGTGTGACCCTGGCCAAGTCACTTAACCCCAATTGCCTAAAAAAAAAATAAAGAAAAGAAAAGCATAGAAAAATGATGCCATGTGGCCCAGTACTTAAAGGAGAATTCTTGGGTAGTAAGTGGAGATAATCCAAGGTAGTATGAGTGCCTGAGATGGTTTGTTTATTTATGTATAGGTTTCCTTTAATATGGGGAGTACAAGAGTATTGATTAAATTTAGAAGGAGCTGTTGAGCTCTTCTAATCCAATCTCATTAATTTCCCCCCCTAATTTTCATATTGATCCTTTCTTAAAAATTTTTTTATTATTAATTTATTTTTGATTTATCAACAATCACTTCCATAAGCTTTGGAGTTTAAAATTTTTCTCCCCCTCCCTCTCTCCCTCCCTCCCTAAGATGGCATGCAATCTGATGTAGGCTTTACATATACAACCCTATTAAACATATTGATCCTTTCTTATGGTGTAATAGTATGATATCACATTACATTCACATACCACTTGTAGCCTTGACTTAAAGGGCCAGCCCTCTCCTGCTCAGATAAACTCAGTGGAGTAGGATGGAAAAAGCTGAATTTGGAGTCAGAGGATATAGATTCAGATCCTGGCTCTGTGTGATCTTGGGCAAGTTTCTCCTCCTTTCTGGGCCTCAGTTTCCATTTCTGTAAAATGATCAGGTTGGACTAGATGCTTTCTCAGGCATCCTCTAATTTTAAACCTATGATACTTCTAACTCAGTCTTATGTGATCCTATGAAACGGCTCCAGTTCCCCAGCGGACAGGCACTGACTTTCCTTCCAGGTGTCTGTAATTACAAAAAGTGTAGCTGCTCATATTTTTGGTGGGGCAGGTATGTGGCACAGTGCCCTGGAGTCAGTAGGTCCTGACTTCAAATCCAGCCTTGGATACTTCCTAGCTGTGTAACCCTGGGCAAGTCACTTCACCCCCTTTGCCTCAGTTTCCTCATCTGTAAAATGAGCTGGAGAAGGAAATGGCAAACCACTCCATTATCTCTGCCAAGAAAACCCCAAATGGGGTCACAAAGAGTCGGACGTAACTGAAATGACCAAACAACAAGGCATAGGACCTTTTCCTCTCCTCTGTCTTTGGCTTCCTTGGATAGCGTGCCTAGTAGCGGTATCACTTGGTCAGAGGTAATTTACACTTTAGTGATTTTTAAAGCGGAATTCCAAACTGTTTCCCAGAACAGTAGGACCAATTCCTAACTCCACCCAAAGTCCATTAGTACATCTGTCTTCCCATAGCTTCTCCAGCATTTATCATTTTTTTGTTCATCTTTGCCAATCTGATGGGTAGGAGGTGAAATCTCGTGGCTGTTTTAATTTGCGTTATTTTATTAGATGATATGGAGTATCCTTTCAAATGGCATTTTATAATTTGGCTTTTCCCTTCTGCATATTGACTATACCTTTTGGACCTATTTATTGGGGAAAGTCTCTTATTCTTGTAGTTTTATATCTATTCCCTACACATCTTGGGTATCAGACTTTTATATTTACGACAAAGTTTCCCCATTAACTGCTTCCATTTTAATTCTAGTAGCATTGATTTTGTCCATAAAAAAAAACTTTACAATTTTTTTGTAATTGGACATTTCCATTTCATCTTCTGTGATCCCCTCTATCTCTTGTTTAGTTAAGAATTCATCCTCTGGTCATAATTGTTGAAAGTTCCTTCTAATTTTCTATGGTGTTTTAATGTGATAATTTGTATTTAGGCCATGTATTATATGGCACAAGATATTGGCCTAAATGACTTGCTCAGGGTCACACGGTTTGTGTCAATGAAGGGATTTGAAGCCAGACTCTCTTGACTCCAGAACTGGCATTTTTCCATTACGCCCCACTGCCTAAATGCCTAAATGTGACTTGTTGGGCTGATTCCCAGATGTTTGAGGCATTTTGTAGTTAATCTAAATGGAATTTCTCTTTCTATCTTCCCTTGATAGATTTTGTTAGTAGTATACAGAAAGGTCAATGACTTTTGTGGATCTATTTCATAATATGTCTTTTTACTGAAGTCACTAATTATTTCAGATAAGTTTTTTCCCATCAAATCTCCAGGATTCACCAAATTAAAAAGCTTATGGCAACACCATCATTTCACGGAGGAGGAGGGACCTTGTTGCCCAAGATCAAACAGCATCAGTGAGAGAGTCAGGATTTGAACCTAGGTCCTTTAATTCCCGATCTAATGCTCTATTCTTTATACTACAAGGGACAGACCTTCATAGTCTTTCACACTTAATACATCTCAGACCCAACTTCCTTGTCTGTATAGCATGGAAGGAGTGAAATTAAATTACCCCTGCCATCTCTTTCAGTTCCAAACCAATGATCTGATACTCTGAAGAAACCTTCTGGCACCACAATTTTCTTACTTCTCGAAATGGATGCTTCTGAAAAGTACAAGAGTTATAATTGTATTATTGCCACAAGAATGAGTAGTTCAACAAAAAATCTCCAAGACATTTATTAAGCTTGAAGAAATGGACCAGATGTGAACCCAAGGGTAGGCTGAGCTCTGGCCCCATTTGAGTGTCTGAAAAGACACCTGGCCACCGCGCTCCCTCCCATCTGTTGACGCTGTGGTATTGCTTCCAGTGATCCATCCTCCCCAGGAACATTTCCAACCTCTTAGTCAAATGAGCTACAAATAATCCTGACAGGACTTTTGACTCAGCACCTTCATTTGGAGAAATTTAGTGGAGGTGTCTGATGGCATTCGGCTGGAGCCGTATGTAGCATGTAGCTTCAGAATCTAGCCACTGTTGCCCATTGAGTGGAAGAAACAATTCAGGCCTGCATTTACAGCTCAAGGATCCAGCAGGGAAAAACAGCAAAGGCATGTGTTTTGTTCCAGCTTGGTCTTCTAATTCCCAAGGCTGATGTTTATCTATTTCCTCTTTCACTTGCTCATTGTGAGCTGACTCCTTGTTGGAGGCTATAAGCAAATAGTACGACAACTACTTTTTGGGAATATTATTTAATAGAAAGAGCCCAGAATTTGGAGTCAGGGGGCCTGGGTTCAAATCCTGAATCTGCCATAT